AAATTCCTTGTTTGATCCATTTTAAAAAGACGAGTCAGCATGCAATGGGTTAGTTATTATTAATTGGAACTCAGTCCCACCATGTTTTCCAAATGAAAGTACAGAGAGTGGAGATCTAAAAGAGAAGTCGAATGTTACAAGAGCTAATAAACAGAATCAAATTGCTAGAAGCCTAAAACACGTAAGCATGCAATGGTTTTCTCGGTGCATAATATTTAAATGCTGAGGAAGTACCTTAACAGTTTCGTCACTAGAATATGCATCTGCCACATCACACAGCTTTCCACTGATATAGGAAGCAGAATACTTCCCGTCAGCTGTGCCGTATTCTCCAAGCACCCAAGAAATGACCTGGAGATTAAATCCAAGTCAGAAGCATAGATTCTGTGTGAAAAAAGACATGCAATGTGGAGAGACCGGAAAACAAAATCAACCTGAAGAAACAGGGATGGAAGCTTTGGCTCGCTGATAATCTGCAAGTATGATTCTACCTGCATCAAGAAAAGCACACTCATAAGCATAGTACTAAACCAACCATGAAGTACGAAATATGATTCGGACAAATCCTAATTTTAAGATTGCCATTTCAGATATAAACTCGTTTCTCTGATGAAAAAGTCCATATAGCACCAAAACTAGATCTAGCAATCTCTTTGCACATAAACGCAGAACGAACACAAATGGAAAGAAAAAAAAACATACAGCTGATAATCTAAGCTTGCTGTCTGCATCGTCATCGTCCTCTCCAAATCCTTCGGCAATCAATCGCATCAAATTATGTGCCACCTTAATATTTACCAGATCTCCTGCATGCTCGAAGACTTTATTCATGATCTGCAGTGTGAGCGATTTTAAAATTCTGTCAGCCCAGACGAAGGTAAATAAGTACACTGAGTACAAGGGAGGTTGGCTTGCTACCTGGATGAACCATTGATTGCTTGGAGCGAATTGTTCCGCCAACTCAACACAACGAGATGCTATCTCAGTCTTGTAATGATTGTCATTGATACTAATCATGTAATCAATCATTCGGTCAACAATAACTTCGACATTAGAGGACTTGGTCATTTTATACAGCAATTCAAAAGTTTTCCTCTTTAGTGTATCATCTGGATCCTGTCAGAACGTAGCAACGAAAGAAACATCAGGCCAATGCGCGCACATTTACACAAACAACTAAAAAGGTTTCCTTTATGGCTGCTCACCTCCAAACAATCTATCACAGCAAGTTGGTGCTGCTCAGCAATGTCAGGGCTTATTTTTATCAATCGACCAAGACCATCGATCCCCATGTACTTTAGATTGTGACTATCACTCTGCAAATAGTTTGCCCGGGATTTAGATACAATCATAAGATTAAGTAGAGTATCTATATACATTTAAGGAATACAAACCTTCAAAAACTTGGAGATAGCATCAGCAGCTGCTTCTAACAGCTTGGGATTTGGAATTATACAAGAAATACAGCGAATACACTCATAAAGGATCGCATTTCCTATATTGGTAGAAGAATCACACTTTCTAAACAAATCTCCAAGCACCATGTACATGATTTCACTTGCACTCTTATCACCACTACCCAGTAGCGCCATTATCTTCAACAACTTGATCTAAAAGAAAAATGGAGGCATAAAAGACATAAAGTGACGAACTTGATCATCAATACTAAAAGTTAAGCTAAGACACATATGACTCCGAACCTGTATGAAGGGTGCAGGCATTTGATGGTAATCGTAACTCTTTGGCAATCTTCTCTCAGTGACCTGTTTAAGAATGCTGACGAAACTGCTGACCAAATCCTTGTAGGATGTAACATCTTCACTTATGAGATCAAAGAGCGGGCAAAGGGTCGCACCCATAACTCCCGGATCGTTATCGCATAGCCTCTTTCTGAAATTGGAGATCAAATGTGAAACCGAAGAAGGAGACTTGCGGTGAAATCTATGCAGAGCCATGATGGCTTTCTTCCTCACAGCTTCCTTTTGGTGATTAAGCAAGTCCACCACCTGAGGCAAAACCGCCGGGATTGTCTCCTCGTTGATCAGCCTACAGATTGCATTAAGTGCCGCACAAACAACGAGATAGTTATCGGATCTGAGATCTTTCTGGATCGTGTTGACGATAAGGATAATGAGGTCGTGATCCTCGTTGAGAAAGAGCGTGACGGCTAGGTAACCGGTACGCTTGAGGAGGAGATTATCGTCGTGGGTCATCTTCACGGCGTGAATGTAACCAAAGGAAGCGTCGTGGCCTAGCATCTCAATGTAAACGAGGCGTATAATGTACTCTTTCATCTTCCTCTTGGGCACATCTGGCTCCAACAACCTCCGTTTCAGTATATCGATCTCGCTGAGCACGATCCGATCTTCCTCGGCCTTGGATCGTGCCTCACCGATTGATTTGACCAGATCGAGAAACTCCTTCGACTGACCAAAACCTCCTTGCGATCCCATCGCTAGCTCTCTCCCAATTGTCTTCAGCTGCTCCATCCTCTCTCTCTCTCTCTCACACACACACACACACTCACACTCAAATCAAATCTCTAGCACCAAATTTCGACCAGTGAAATTCTCCTCCGATGATTGATCGATTAACGACGAAACGGCGATAGGATTCGGATTTGGATTTGGATTTCGATTAGGGTTCTTCCGATCAGAAATCGGAAAAGAGACCATGCGAAAATTCCTCTTCCACCTTCTATGCTTTGTTTCCCGTGACCGTTCCGGTGATAATTGTGATTCAACGGAGCTCAGATCTGAAAGATGAAAAACGTGAAGAGATTTTAGTAACCACGAGAGAGTCTCTTGTTTGTCTTTGCTTTTAGCTCAATAAGCCACCAGGTGGTCCTCGATTGCAAAACCAACACGCGTGTGTGTTTACAACAGTCGAAATTTAGAGTTGTTTAACCGGGTTTTCGGTTAAAATCTGGAGTAGTTTAACCAAGATTTCGGTTAAAAATGGGAGCTATTTAACCAATATTATGTTCAAAACACTAAACCGATTCTACACTACTACATACACAACGCATGTCCACGGATTCGTTTGTCAACCAGATAGCAAAATGATATGGTCACGCTCGAATGTTCCGTATTATATAATTTGCTAACTCTTCTGCTCTATCCAAAATACTCGTATAAAATAAATATTTTCTGAAAAAACGACATTTTCTCATTTTTCATTTTAATTCTAATCAAATTCTAGCTTTTTTTTTCTCTCTCGATTCAACTTTTTTCTCTATAGTGTTCTTTCTCTCATTCGTTTATTGCAAAAACACGATTTTCTAAATTTGTCACCTAAAAATAATTTTTCAAAATTTTTAAGTATAACAGATTTTTAATTTTAATTATTAATTTAACATCACAAAACTCACTTTTGTCCTTGTTTTTCAATTTTTTTGTTGTTTCGACAAATTTCATGGTCAAAATTATTAATTTTAAACTTCAGAATGTTGTGTGCATGAACTAAGTTACTATAGGTGGTGTTACACAAGAAGCTAGTGTTCCAAAAATAAAATAAAAAACCTTCAGAATGTCCTAAGAAAAAATCACGAAGCTAGTGTTCTAAAATTTCCACATGTCCTTCCCTTACTTGCAGACGATTTTGATCCATAACAATTCTGATGTTTTTCAAGAAATAAGAATATTGAGTGCATGAACTAAGTTACTAACTCAATCACTAATTTGGAAAAAAAGAAAGAAGAGTTTCTCGAAAGATTAGTTGTTGTTAGGAATGAAATGCGCCAATTGTACCCAAAATTAGGCTTCCTTTTAGCTTAATACGCCTATTTTCTAAAAACAATCCCCTCCCCTCTATGCCTAGCTCATCCCCCTCCCCCCCATTTCCAGCGTTGATGATAAATTTTGTTGTATAGAACCAGTTTTCAACGAAAATCTAATAACTAATTGATACAACATGCAGTTATTTGTACGGAACTAATTATTAAAGTAAACTGACTGCATTAACCCAAAAAGAAAAACAAAAATCGATCTGGGAAAACTAAACCTTAAATGGTATATAAAACGGCCTATTTAAAACCCACTCAAAACTTCTACATCAGGTATCTTACATGCCACTTCAAAATTTTCCACGTTTTAACACTTTTTGACAATACGTAAAACACAAATGCTTTTCCTTAGAGAATGCTTGTCACATGTCATTATGTCACTAGTAGTAACAAAAAAAAGTACGCAACGATCTAACAATAGGTGGTATCAAATTTATTTATTTTTTATTTTTTTGAATAAAACTGTTAATATCATTAAAAATGAGAGCGATTTGTAGTTAATATTCAAAAATAGATTAACTAGCTTAGAGAAAAACAAGGAAAGTCTATCAATTGGGTAGTACACGTTTATTTTCTTCATGATTCCTACCTCTTAAAGTGTTCCTAGATGTAGTACACGTTTTACATTCATGAAAAATTATATCAAGGTAAAAGATATATAAGTTCATCTGTTTATTTTATTTTTTAAGGATCCGCATTATAACTAAACATAACACAAATCTCTACGTTAATGTAGTATAATTGCCTTGAAATACCATATATATGTTAATCCTGCCAGCAAAAAAAAAATAAAAAAAAAATAAACAAACGGTGGTATTTTGGCATAGAGTATACATCCATAGACAATGTTTTACATCTAAGCAAGCATATTATACTTATTTTGCATGGACATTGTTTTGTATTCTTGTATGGTTTGGTAAATGTGAAAAACCGTGTCCATGCACAATAAGCTGAACAAAAAGAGTAATAAAGTTGAAAAGAAACAAATGTGAATGAAAAAATGACAATAAGTTGACGAAAAATATTGTAAGAAAGTAACTTTATCAGAATTTTGTTCTAAAATATTTTCCTAAATAGACAGAGAAAGTATTTGTAGAAAAAGAAATTGTCTTTTGGTTTAGAAGAGAAGAATATTGAAGCACATTAATTTCCCTCCAGATGGTGTATAAATACTCTGCTCTGAGTCAGAGAACAAACAAAATCTCCCCATAGAATAAGAAAACCACATACACAAAATCAGACAAATCTTCTTCAAAAAAATGGCGAACGAAAACTCAAGAAATTTTCAAGAATTGGACATAGGAACCATGATTCGCTTCAAGATGAGGAATACGGGAGACTGGTATCAGGGATCGGTCTTCTACTTTAGCCCACAACCAAATGGTTCTCTTTTTGGAATTCAGAACGGTAAGTTAGTTTTAATTTTGGAAAAAAAACGCAGGTTAATATATGAACGTAGGTTTTTCTTAGGAGAGTAATGATGAATGTTTGGAAATTTTAGATTGTAAATATCGTCAAATCTGGCTAATTTTCTGGTTTAGTTGTCAAGAATTGAATTAGGGTTTCTACTCTCGTTTTTGTTTGTTTCTTAAATTTCTATATCGTTTTAAGTTATTTGTGAGTGAAATGTTTTTTTGCATGTGGTTTTGTACAGTAAGTGTGTGGAGGGTGGATGGGAGATATGAACATGTCTCAGGGTTTAACCACTTTAATCTAAACGACATTACGGTATAAAATTTTATGTTCTATAAAATATTATTGTATATTAGTATAAATACTAGTATACTACTTCAAATTTGTTTTCTTTTTTGCTAAATAATACTACTTCAAAATGTTTTCTTGGTTGTAACTAGGAGTTGCAAGTAAATGTTGTTGCAAGGCAAAACCCAATCAACATTCAGGTAAAAGAAAACTGCAATCTATAACAAGAATAGTATGCCATATGAAGATCTTAAAAACAAAGATATATATATGATTGGGGAATTCTTGAAATGTTTTCTTTGTCAGGATGGTCAGAACAATAATCGAGATGGTGGATCATCATCATCCAAATCAATTGAGAACAAGATGGGATCTCTCCGCCTAGATCCACATTCACAGTGATTCTTGAATATCACATATTTCTACTTATATTCCTTATACATAACATAGATAAATGAAGTTATGAACCGTACGTAGCATCCAGTAATGTACGTAGTTTATAACCTCTCTTACCACTATACAGAGAAATGTCATTGTGAGATTAAGCGATTAAGAGATTTTTATATGATTTGATTTAAATTATTGAAAATTCTTTTCTCTATTCTTGTTCCTTGGGTAAATGTTCCATCAAAGATCTTATCTTAAAATCAAATGCCAAACATTACACACTGTAAGGACTAGAACTTTAGCTCTAAATTCATAAACCAAGTAGAATTTTAATCTAACAGGACGGACTCATAAATAGCCCAAAATTTTAAAATGACAATACTCGAAAACAATGGTATATTACCTTAATTCAATGATTTATCTACATATCATTGTTTTCGAGTATCGTCGACAATCATATATCTAGATATATATTCTAATATAACTAAACCAAACCAAACCAAGAGCAATTGGTTTTTAATTCGGTGAAAAACATTTCGTAACAAATAAGCCAAACAGCCTAAATTATCGAAATGAACCAATCGAAATATTGTGTGAATAATAAATAGCTTTTAACAAAATACATACGATCATTTATTATTTTTTGCAATTTTAAAATATAAAAAGCTGAAAAGCAACGAACTTTTTTGTAATTGGCGTGAGGAAGAAATTGCAATCGCATTTCCCTCCAAAGACCTATATAAAGAAGGTACACATCTCCACGGGAATCAAAATCATCGCTCTGATTCTCGACTCTCTATAACAGAATCTTCCTGTAGAAGTTTAGAGAAGGAAACAGTTATACAGAATCTCCGCCATGGCGAGCCAAGACTCCACAAACTCTCCAGACTTGATCGTCGGATCTTACGTGAGCTTCACATCGACGACGGGCGACGAGTTCTACGAAGGAACGGTCTACTTCTTCGACCCAGAGGATGCTAGTTTCGGGATCGACGATGGTAAGTTGTTTTCGCGTTTTCTTTTGATTTGATTTGATTTGTTCGTTCTTTGCGAAAAGTGGAATCGCGTGAATTTGGCGGATTAGGTTTTGTAATTGGTGTTTCCTGATGCGAATACGGGAATCGCAATTGTTGATTCTTCGAGAGTTTAGGTTTATAGATTCAATCGAAGTTCGAGATGATTGTGTATAGGTCGAGAACTTAGTTGATTTCACTGGTTTCTTGAGGAATCGAAACTGGGATATGCAGAATTTTTGGATTTATTCGGTGTTCGTACGATGGAATTGATGGTTACTCTCGTCGATAGATTGGGTTTTATGATGCGAGTACATCGAAATGCTGATTTTCTTGGGATTTCGATCGTTTTCTTGACAGATTTTGCTGCTGAATTTTGTTCGATTTTTTTTTTCTTTTTGGATTTCCGTTTTTGTTTGAGCGAAAATACTGCTTCATGGATGATGTTCTTCTTATTGTTCCGCTGGTTATTGATCATTATCTTCATCGATCGACTAGGTTTTGATTCTGAAAAAATTCTGACTGTTTATGAGCGGAATACTGATTTGTGATTGTTTTTGTCTTCCCAATGAGCTTTCTTTCTTGGAATAAGCACTGTGTGTTCTTCGTCTTCAATGTGATTTTGAGTGTTTTCTTGGCAGATTTTGTAAAACGTGCTGATATTCTTGGAAGGTTTCTGACTTGTGATTGTTGTTTTTGGTGTATTTGTCTTCATTCTTAGACTAAGTAGCACTGTATGTTAATTGTTGTTCTGTGGATTTTGGGTGACATGATTTGCCTCTGTGATTGCACAGTATCGCGCACCAAGGTTATTGCTGGTTATAAGCGTGTTGAAGGGTGTTACCAGTTTTTTCTGAAAGATATCAAGGTTGGTATTATAATTGAAATCGATTTGATGTTCTAATAGCCATCGTATATATCCATTTTATACCAAGTCAAAATTGTTTTCTTTTCATAAACAGGACTTGAGGGTGATTCGTGTGCCAAAGCCAAAACCTACCACCAACACTACTACTAAGGTAAAAACTGAAACCTAGTAGTAAAGAGAAGTATAAATGGGAAGTTTTTCAAATGCTTTTTTATCGTCCTCAGGATGATGAGAAGACTACTCCCGGTGAAGCATCATCTTCCACTTCCACTTCAACTTCAAAGTGACTCTGTTTCGTTGCAAATACATATCGAGTCATGTTACTTCCCTATACATATATGGTCTCTCATTCTCATCTTTTGCTTCCTCTTGGCTACTTTGTTCTGTTCTGTACAGAGCAATGTTCATAACTAGACTCTTACTAGTTTCTCAAATATCTGTTGTTTTAGTTCGCATAGGAGGAGTTCATCAAATTTTTTAAATCGATACCTGTTTTGTTGATGAAGGCGTTATCAGTTTCTCTTTTGTTGATGTGTTTCATTATAAAACTACTATCAGAAAGATAGGATTTTCCCTTTTTGAGACTCTTCTTCCTCTGAAAAAATATTTTAAAAATGAAGTGCTAATGGAACACATTTAATCATCTTTTTCAAATGCAATCATTATTTCTGAAATCTACTGTTAAACTTCCGTCTAAACATAAGTTGGTTAGTGTAAAATTTTGTGCTGTGTGACCCAAAAAGAAAGGCCTATCAAAATTATTGCATTTTTGCCGGATTGCTTGAGGCTCAAGAAACAACTTTTAATAGCCTTTAATAGTTTTTTTTTTCCTACACTGCGTTGGAAACAGAGGATCTAAATTTATAAAAGAGAAGATGTGTTCTACTGGGTGTATATAGCAACGTCGTCGTCTATTAAAAATAGCGAAGTGAGACGTTGTTTACGTTTGATTAGACGATCAGTCTCCATCAATTTGGAAACACTGTCACCTCACCATCTCTCTTTATCTCATGGTCCTCGCCAAAACACGTTTTGGTTGGCCTCAAAAGGAAGAACATAGCTTTTTCCTAAAGAAAACATAGCTTTTTCCTAAACGTAGATTCTCACGCTAAGCCTTGTTTGATTGTCATTTAAAAAAACAGTTATCAAATAGCATTTGTAAATTATAAACGTATATACGGATTAAATATTTAACTGCAAACGTTATCCTTTCATTTTTATCATTAAAGTAATCAATGATCGACACATAAAAAATTATGTTTCACAGTGTACTACCCAATCTAATTAGTATCTAATATATGAATATCAATGATCAAGATTTTGTCTTCTCATTTGATCTAATTTCTTTGTTGTCTAGTTAAGTTACGGAGTTAAAAGGGGCAAAAAAAAAAAAAACTACTATACATTGTGGGTATGACTTTTGTTTTGAGTCTCAACCTGTAATGATGGTTTGACGTTGGATGCAAACGCTCCGAGAACCGCACCCAGCGTTGTAACGCACAGAACGCCGGACGCTGCGAACACACCGTCTTTCACAAGGTAACACTCACCGTTTAGCCATCCTTTGCCGTATCTCTGCTCTCTGTTCATGCTTACCCCAACGCTTATTAACGTAACCGCAACCGCAAAATTAGCCCTGCAATTAAAGTATTATAACAACTTATTAGCTACAAATTTATCTATAACCTTCGTCAATTTGATTTAAGAAAGCATCTTTCATACCAAGAAAACAACATAAGTAATATACAAAACGACGACGTTTCCGTTTCCTCTGTTTTCAAGAAACCTCTGCAGATCACAACGTTTCCGATTATTTGAGCAACTGAAACACATACCAGAGCGGCGGTTCCTAACCCGAAAGCATGACGTCCGGGTAGATAACACGATTCTCCATCCCATTTCAGATCTTTCCCCTAAAAAAATATATATTTACCAGATTCTTGTGTTCTTAGAACATAAAATGAATAACTTGAGTAACAAGTAAACTTTGCAAAACCATTCACCTTAGCTTTGTGAAACTCAGACGCGAGGCAAAAGAAAAACGCGGCGAGACCAAAGAAAAAGATGAATATGAAAACGAGAGAGAACTTGGGTCGCCTGTTCCGAGTATGATCTTGTTCAAGAACCTTCATATTGATAATTTTTTCTTAAATCCCCTGAAAATTAAGGAAAGATTACTTACTCCACAATTTTCAGAGAATAACTATTTGTGAATGCATACATACTTATATATGCGCGTTTTCTAAAAGAGTGGATCTGTTCTTTGTTGTTATGGTTGGGTTGTTGGGTTCTTTGCTTGGCTTTTGTGTTAATAAAGTTGGTGTAATTTTGAATCTTCGTTAGGAATATGAAGAGAAGATACTTTTGTGGATCAATTTTGGACTCTTTTCTCCCTTTTTTTCTCTATTTATGTTGATAAGATATTAAGATACTCATTCAATAAAATATCAATCTCACAATTTGGATGAATTAGTATGAACTAGTGATTAGCTAGTTATTCTCAATGTATGCTGTAACTCTTTATGGTGTCTTATGATCAACGAAGATGATGAATATATTAAAAATAATTTATTGGAAACCAGACCATTATTTCTTAAATCGTTCTTCGTTACAGTTCATCATTTGGATGTTCATCAAATGATGTAGATCAATTTCATCAATAATACTTTTACGCAAGATTCTCATTCGTTTTTGGGAATGCATTTTTTAGCAGTGGTAAGCTTGATAGGTTTGCTCTTGAGAACAGGATTTTGCTCGAAAAAATTGGTTGGTCGGAGTTCAAAGCCACCGGACAAAGTAGGCATCGTCGGAAAATCTTCTTGGCTTGGGACGTGGTGGAATCCGATGGTGTACCACATCACTATATCTTTGTTCTCTATTTCTCTATTCCTGTCACATTCAATGGCATAATTTTAGCCCCACAAAATTAAAAACACATAACAAAATCAGATTCACACCAATGATTTTAAAATATATATATATATATATAAATTTTGTAAATATGAAATTTCAAGAATAATTTTTTTATCAGTTCATGTTTTAACTGACTATATTTGTTGATGTACAGGGTAATATATCAGGTCATGCAACGTAAGAAAATATAATAAAAATTTGTGATAGAGATGTAAATTATACCTTTGAGACCACACGGCTAATGTATCATCGCCATGGCTCTGGTCGGCGTACAAACCGCCTGCCCAAACCTCCGACCTATTATACGGCGTGATCCACACGTTATAGTTGGTGAATGCTGCGCGGATCTGTGGGTAATCATCTTAGGCCAGAAGTGGGCCTGTAGCTGCCCCAGAAAGTATACGGTATCCAGCTTCATTGCCATGTTTCGTTTTCCGGTTAGGGTTAACCACCACCAGCTCCTCCGCCTTTAATCCTAGTTTCACCCGAGCCTCCGCCTCGGTCTTGGCCGTCTTGGGCCTGGTAGTCCAATAGCTTTTTCTCGGTGTGTTAACAGATTTCGCGGTTCTTTTCGTCACAAGTTCGTTACGGACAAAAGAATTGTCTGTACCGTCGATGTCAAGATCGAGACGAAATGTCACGAAATGGTCGTGGTTGACTCCGACGGTATTGTCGGCTACAATTGTACCGTGGATGTCCTCTTCTCCAACCTCTGATGTATGGATATATTCCACCGGTTTAACTTCTAGAACACCGGTTAAGCCGACCTAGGCATATTAAATGTATATAACAATGTAGTTTAGGAAGAACATTGTAAGTCAATGGAAATCCAAACTGAGTCTAGTATACACTGATCAGTGTTATTGAAATTACATTGTGATAACAAACAAAACAAACGAATTTCACTTTGTTACGTAAAAAAAATGGTTATTATAATTTTTATTGTGTTTCATATGGACTGGTTTGTATCACTTGATAGATGATATATTCTTTGATCTGCCGACGGAAATAGAAAAATTCGACTCTAAAATCATTGAGATAATATCATGGAATCAATGATTAGAAACTAAGAAAACTAAAATAGCCAATTCAGACGAACATAATTAATTGGAATCATTGGAATGGCCAACACGTAACGAAGCAAAAAGTCGATAAGCCATTTGCCAAAAAAAAAAAAAAAAAAAATCGACAATCCGGATATGGTGGATGTGGCTCAATCATGATTTTATTTGTTTTTTTCTTTATCCTGATCTTGTTCATCTTTTTCTTATTTTCTGTCATGTTCAGTGATGATTCACGTGTCGTGTTAATATTAAATGTATAAACGAAAAATGCATGGTAGCTATCTATGTAAGGCGAGATAAGACTGTTTTACCCCCATTTTGATGGAACCACTAGGCTTGAATTCATAATCAATTATGTAGTCGTAGTTCCCCACGGTCGTTACGATTCGGACTACAAGACTTACGTCCGGTCTAACCTCTGTAATCTGCATCATTACATATTTAATGAATTAAATTAATTTATATAAAGAATTTATATGATAATATTTATAGCATCATAAATATAGATGTTTAATCACTTCTAAGTTTGGAATTTCAGCTTCTGTATGTCTCCACATGATATCTCCAGCATATTTCTCAAAAATGCACATAACATTTGGGATTTTCGCCGGAGTTCCATCTTGACCTGCAAAAAGCCCATCCATAAAAACTGCACCTGCTGGACAGTCAGTGTATGGTTCAAGGGACACAGCGCATTGACCGCAACCGAAATCCCCACAATCAAGATAGGTAATGAAATACCAATCGTCACTTGGATCCATGTAAGGTATGAACATCTCCGATAAATGGCCTTTGTATAAAACTTGCTTAGATTTGTTCACATCCATGTCGAAAATGGACGCAAGGGAGATTACGATACCAGCTCGAACGTCGAAAGATAAATGAAACTCCCAATTTGCCCATCTATTCACCAAAATGTTTTGTATGAAGTTAATATAAGTATATATAATTTTGGAATTGATTGGTATCAGATGACACATATCTTTCATAATATATGGTAATATATATATATATATATACATGTATATATATTAAAAAATAATGTATTCTAATATATTGTGGACGCATAATTTGTTTAGTGTGAACAAACTATTTTAAAGATCAAATTATATAAATAGCAAGAAATTAACAATTATTGGAAACACACTAAAGTTTTTGATCTGGAATTTTGTCACCTATATTCTATACATTGATTGTAATACTATCTAGTTAACTTTTACTAAATTTACTGATTTATTAAAAAAACGGTGAACGTATTACATAAAATCATAGACCGAGTTTTAAGTAACAAGAATTCATGAAAAAAAAATCAAATATCATGAAAAGATAGAGTTTCCAAAGTTTGAATCAAAATTCAATAGTATCTGTGTGGGGAATGGAGGAGTAAATTTTAATATTAGAACCCCACAACATGAAAGAAAAAGTTTGAGACAAACTTATTGTGTATGTGTCTTCACAATAATTTTTTTATGTCTTTAAAGGTTCAAAAAGTACAAAACTTTCAAATTTCATTAACTTTTCCATCTTAACAACACATGTTTCAGGTGGTAACTATACATATTATGAAAAATACTAAAATAGTGAAAGCTAGCCGAAAGTTTTTGACATTTTCGATTTTAAATCCGAGAGAATTAACGAAATTAACAAAAAAAAGACCACTAGTTAAAAATTCATTGGCAAAAATAGCTTGAAAATTATATGTGAAGCAACACATTGATTAGTTTCTTTTTAATCGTAGTATAAGAAAATACAACTGAGATAGTCAATATAATCACTTTAGTCATTCAAAGGTCTTAAAATTTCAGCTTAGAGATGTGCCAACAGAAGTAACAACCACAAATAGAAAGAAAGCTAAGATGTTGCCTTATTGGGATTTTCAAAAAATTTCTAGGTCGTTGGCTGGTTTAATGAAAAAACTTTATAAGCAAGAGTTAACTGAAAATTTGAAACTTCAGTAATTTTTTTTGATATATTCAACATAAAATTCAGAAAATGTTTTCGTAAATCTAAATGAGGAGAAGAAAATAAATTCAGAGAACTTGACTCTTTAAGATGAAAGCTTTAAAATTTTATTTTCCATATATAGGATATAGCATAAATATTATTGTCAAAATCTTATCTATAACAGTATAACGGCGTGTGTGGCCAAAGAGAGGAGACCCATAACATAAGACATAATTGTCAATCTCAATCATTTACCTCACGATGTGGCCATCGAATTTAAATCCTGGACCGTCCGGCTGCAAAACGACGGCATTTTGGAGCGTCGGTCCAAATGGTGGCTTAAGCTTTGAGAAACGGTACTCAGTTCCGTTAGCCTTAGGCATAGTAACAGTTAACCTATCCTTAAACTCCGTTACCTTCATCACGTCAAGATTAACGAGTATCGTCATTCCTTCAATAGGTCTAAGATACATATTAACGGTGCCGTCAAGATAAAACGGCATCAGTCTCATAACCCTCTCCGTCTCGGCCTCACTCTCACCGTACCATCCAACCGTTGACGTCGTGAACACAATCTCCGAAACGTTCAAGCCGCGTTTCGTGACCGCGTCACGAAACTGCTTGAACTTGAGAACAAGCTCGGTGGCAGCTTCTTGCTCGTCGTTTGTGAGCATAGGGTAACCATTGCCTACGTGGATCTTGTCCGAGACAATGGCTCGAGAGTAAAAGTCAACAACGATCTCTCGGGACTTTCCGTTGTCTCTAGCGATTACAAAGGCCTGACGTGGCGGTGGTTTGACGGTGTGGTTTGCTGATGAGTGCCATGACAAGACTAGAGATTTGTCGGGTTCGTTGAGACCAACGTACTGGAAAGTGAACTTATGGTTCGGACCAATAGGGTATGATTTGTTGATGATGGTTCGGACGAGTTTGAGTTCGGTCTCGGTCATGGGATCGAATGGGTGACGTGGTGGAGCCAAGCTTGACGTTGAGGTTGCGAAAATGAAAGAGAAGAAGATTAAAATGGTGAAGTGAAGTGGAGCCATATTGTTCTTGGTGAAGTGTTTATTGTTTGATTTGATGGACTTGGTTTATGCTTAAACTTTATAGGCAAATATGTATCCTTAATGGAATTTAAAATTAATATTTTAGTATCCTTAATTATAGTTTCTACTTACCTGCTTATATTATTTATTGTAAAACTAATAATACACTAAACCAGCTGGAACAATCTGATTTGCTATTATATACAACATTGCACGAGCTT